ATAAATATTTACACCTTTTGAAGGAGCAAAAGGTGAAGCTGAAAATAAGTCGCCACCTTTACTTTTTATTTCCTGCGTACATTTTGTTTTTAATATGTGAGTATATTTATACTCGCTGTGGGACTTAAGATTAATTAAGACTAGACAGATTTTTTTTTGCCTGCACTACCTTCATTTTCAAGTTGAGTTTAACTTTATTTTTTTAAAGCCTTTACTTGTACAGTTATGAGGTACTAAAGTAGAATGTTTGATTGGATGTCGTCTCAGATAACAGAAGTGAAATTGAATCATTAACTGACTGAGCTGAATTAGCTTCAAATTGTATATCGATTCATATGCCGACTGTTAGCATGTACTGTATACCAGCATGCTAACAGGCTACATGTGTGTGTAACATCATAGTTATCTGGTGTTTTGTTTTGTTATTGCACATTATTTTCTACACTGTGATCAACTGTTAGCAAACGCTAATAATGCAACTCATACGTCAGTACTGAAAATGTAATGGATGCACATTCAGATAACAAATGAGCACAGATTACAGTGCAACACCTGTGAATCAGATCAGTAACTGCTTACAGTGGTAACACGCTATAGCACTAAATACGTCACTGTTGACTATACTCCAGAGGCGGTGTAGTTGTTTTACATGTATGATTTGTGGTTATGATGTTATTTCTGGGCAGACATGATACAATTCACTCCTGAAGAGTGCCCAAAACATTTACATATACAGCATGTACATATACACCAAGTTTTTTTTATTTTTTTTTATTTTTTTGATGCGTTGGTCCAACTTTCTTCTGTACTAATTAAATCTGGCTACAGTGTTTTGCTTAGACCTGGTTACTTGGTTATTTGTTATTCTGACGTTTAGGCTATATCCATATTTGCTTCAGCTTCCTGGGTTTTGAGCGCATGGCAGAGATGTAAAGGTGGAGTAGATATTAGTAGATATTATTCAGTCATAGAGGAGGAAACTGCATGTAATGAGATTATACTTTTATAACCTTAAGAATTATTTGGTGGGCTCAGAGAATGCAGTAGCAGACACATCACATAAAAGGGCCACATGTCAACAGCTAATATTGGTCTTCAATGTCAAAATATGTAGTAACATTTGTGGTAATATTCAATAGACTTACACAGACTTACTATGTTCAATAATCAGTTGAAATATCTGTTAATTAAGTAAGTTGATGAGGTATGTTAACCAATGTCTCTACTGCACTACAGAAATGACTTCTACACTAGAGGGCATGACATACAGTATGTCAGAGATGTCATGTGCACAAATGAAGGCGTGTTCGTTTAAATGACAAAACTAACATTGTTACTTAAATATGGGAAATAAAATAGCTTACTTCCAGGTTCTTGTTTTTTAAATATGGTAATACATTCGATTCCTCTTGGACAGTTACACATTACATCCAATACCTGATAACTGTGAGCAGTGTTTTTTTTCCCTTTTGTGTCACTCCTGCTTCTTAAACTGGTTTTGTAAATTGATTTTGTGTTGCCCTAAAAACATCCCTCAAATTGTTCAACTTTTGACTTTTTCTCCAATTTTCCCAGGGTAAAAATGGTGAGCAATCCCAACACTCTCTGCTGTTGCAATATCAACACGAACACTTCCAGATGCCCTTTGGGAGCCATATATTAGCATCTTGTCACATTTTATTTGACATTTCAATTTTTACTATACTGCCGTAGCGAGAGAGGGATGAAAAAAAAAAAAAACGGAAAACAAAACCAAAGACAAACAGGTGCAATTTTAGCACAGCAGCAATGAGCAGAAGCCAGTTGGGGTTCAGACTTATTCTGTGGCATGATGGGATATACGCTGCTACATTATAACTCTTAGCGTTATCATTTTTATGGCCCAGCCCAGCAGGGAGAACAATGCCAGTGGAGGTTAAATGCTCTCAAATAGCTCCCTCTATTTCTACCTAGTAGATATAGGACAGATATTTGAGTCCTTCCTAACAGGCTAGGTCCTCGGCGACCGCTCTCTTGTTTAGCTCTAGGCCTTAGGTCAGAAAAGAACAAACTGTCTTTGCAAAGTTTAGTGCTCACATTGCACTTTTACATACAGACACACTCTGCCACGGTGCTGTCTCCCTGTTGAAAAACAAAACAAAACAGGGAGACAGAAGAGTCGTGTACACAGAGGCATTGTGAATTATTCCTTTGTTAAATATTTAATCAAGTGTTTCCAGGAGTTTACCACATTTGTTTACCACAATTTAGCAGCAAGTGCAATGTGGTTAGTTTGAGTGATCTGTTTCTGTGTGTGTGTCTGTGTCACTATGGTTGGTTTCTCCTTAACACATGAAAAACAACTCACATCACTTTAACGAGCCTTCCCACCTTTGTCTTCTCCAATCAGAGCAATCCCACAATGCATTTTGCTCCACACACTTTCACACTGGCTGGTTCAGTGCAGGCACTTGTCTGAAAATGTATTATACACATGCACACACATACACACACACACACAGTCACTGCAAATCCAAACAATGATGCAAGCTTTGAAATTTACCACAAAACAAAATGTCTTATGTCCGTAAATGACCTACATGAAGGAAGAACAAGCATGCGTTTGCAGACGAGATACTAAAACTTTTTAGTGTTAGTCAAAGAATTTTCTAATAAACAGTAGGAACTACTTTAATGAAATTTTAATTGGATGGCTGTTGATAAAAAGATAAAGATAAGATGAAGATAAACACCCTTGTATTATGATTGTTGTGTATCTGGCTCACAATTATAATTTCCATTACCGGGTCGCGGGGCAGCAGTCTCCATGACCACCACCAAAATCACACTGCACCGTACCAACCCCCCTGAACCTTCCTGCGGGTGGTGAGTCCACTGGAAGGTACTAACTGGCCTAACTGGGATTCGGGAATCTCAGGAGGTGAACCCTGGGGTTCCACACCAATGACAGAGACATTGCCTCTGGGCCAAAGTGCCACACAATTATAATTTGCACTGTAAAAAGATCAATATATGGATTAACATACATATAAAAATATATTGTCAGACTAAATCTATATAATCTAATTTATTAAAAACTTTCCAAAAAGTAAACTGAAAGTTACTAAGCGAGAAAGTCAGTTTAACTGTTAAAGCATCTCCTTTCCCACCTTTTTATTGTTAGAAATTAAATATTCAAATGAAATCCCTTTTTAATTGAACAGCTGTCAATCAAGATGCTTTCACTCAGAGATTTGTATATGCTGCATTTTATTTAAACTTGAGTCATATAAATGTAAGTGAAAGAATACAATTGTTTAGGGTTGTGTGTGGTGTCTTTAATCATAATTTGAAAAACAAAAATTATTGGGAAAAAAAATGTATTAGATGTTTTTTAATACATTCTGCATTTCTGGACTGTGATGGAAACCAGAGATAATTTATACACACAGGGTGAACACACACAACACAGACAGGAGATCGTACGAGCCAACCAGTGATTTGTATTGCAAGGCAGAACTGCTAACCACTTCTTTTTCTTACGTTGATATTTGTAAACAACCTTTACTTCTTTTGTCACTGGTGTCTTCCTGTCCTTATTTCTTGGTAATTCTGAGGTATAATATCAATAAAATTGTTGCTTTTATTTCATGCCATATCAGTATGTTTCAAACCTTAGGTGAATTTTCTCTACTTACTGTAACAGACTATAAGGAATGCATAATGTTTAAGCCATTCAGAAGGATGCTGACAAACTGGCCAGGTTTGTAGCAAACACAGAATTATATTCCAACTTGTAATTAAAGCCAAGTCAAAGAGAAAGAATTTGCCTCAGGTCTTCAAACAAACCAACTGAGTTTCCCTGACAGAGAGACATAGAGAGACAGCTTTAAACACAGGCCCCAAGTGAAGATCCTGGATTTTGTAAAATAAGGATGTGGGGTAGAAATCCATGCCCTCATCCTGAACCGCATACTGTATTTGACGTTAGCCTCTGCAAAGGAAGTCTTTTTAGTCTTTAAGATGTGTATTAAATACCTACAAATATACAGTATCACCCAAATCCAATATTACTGTATGTTTATAATAATGTAGGATAATGTTATTTAACAGATAATACATGAAAGAAATTACACATTAATTTGATCCAACCAGGTTAATTGGTTACTCTTTATTGACCATAGTTGTTAATCCCCTCAAACCCTACAAAGGATTAGGAAGCAGCAGATGAATAATGTACTACTCATAGAAAGATATTTTAGTTTTGTTTTATTACACATTTACTGTCCAAAACGTCCACATTCTCCACCAACAGGTCCATTTTGTGGCTGATGATTCTCCAGTCCTTGTTTTCTGTAACAGAAACTTCCTGTAAAAATCACAATGCCTCAGGTCTAATCGTCAAGATAGATATTGTTTGTAGAGTCACACAGCAAGACCAGGTGTGCAGATCAACCTTATCTATTTGCCACAGGGTGTGTGTGTGTGTGCCTGTTGGCGTGTGTTCTCTGCATATTATGTTGCATTATAAGAACAGGTTCCCTGCCTCCATATGTGCACAGTGTGCAGGGAAGCTGGGAAAACAAGGTTCTCCATGGCCCTCTGTGTTATTGCTACCTCCCGCCTCCCAGAATCCTGTTTGAAGACAGGAAATAGGAGTCAGACCGCAGTCCGAGGGGCATGTGGCAATGGTTAATACTCCGATGACCTTTGACCTTTGCTCTCCACCCCCGCCTGCTCTCTCACACCACTCCCCTGGCCTTCAAACGCTATCCCCTGAGTCCGAGCTCGAAAAATGAAACGGCCTGACCTGGCCCAGCCCAGTTCGGCTCAGACTAACTCAGCCCAGCACAATGGACTGTGCGTTCTGAGCTTTGTGTGAGTGGCCAATTAAAAACAGATGGACTTTAAGGAAGGGGAGCAGAGGTGGAGGAAGAAAGAAAGGAGTCTTGTAAAATATTTTGGAAGAAAAATATCCCAGGGACTCTGACTAATAATATCTATTTGTCTTGTGTGGTTTTGCTGGGAAGGCCATGTGGTTGCTCCGACTGCTCTACGGTTCATTTTTCACAATATCTGATCCGAGCAAGACAGAGAGCAAAGAAAAGACAGTGGGTTCTGGTGCAGAGGGCTAGGTGGGCTAGTTCTCTGGAGGTGTTGTGGTTAGGTGGAGGCTGGTTTGCAGGGAGCAGAGTAAGATGGAGGCCTCTGGAGTCACAGAGGTATCAGGTCTTTGGATGCTGTCTCTTGTGTGTGTGATGACAAGGATTAGTATAGGTTTTCTTCCATCCATCCATCTTCATCAGTAACAGTGACCAACGGCTATACAGTAACTAACAACCATAGATATTTGTCAGAGGACAAGTACATACATGTGCTGTATATAGGCAGAGTCCTTATTTTATGGTTTCTTTTTAATTGTAATTTACCAATTATTTATTGTATTTAATCAGGTGATAAAACGGTGGTTCCTTAACTTCAGAAGCTCTGTACTTGGTGGAGGATTACATTGTTTTGTCAATAATTCTTTTAATACTTAAATTATAAATTATTAAATTTACATTTTACCAATGATTATTTTCCCCATGTGAACCTTTCTTTACCATAAAATCTTGCTTTATTATGAACAAGGCAAACACTGGGCCAAATATCTGAATATTTATTTATTATCATTCCATTAATTAGTGGCGCTTTGGCCCAGAGGCAATGTCTCTGTCATTGGTGTGGAACTCCAGGGTTCACCTCCTGGGCAGGTTCGAATCCCGGTTAGGTTACCTTCCAGTGGACTCACCACCCGCAGGAAGGTTTGGGGGGGTTGGCACGGTGCAGTGTGATTTGGGTGGCGACTGCTGCCCCCGCGACCCGGTAACAGATAAGCGGATGAAAATGGATGGATGGATGGATGGATTCCGTTAATTATTCACACTGGGGGGATTAAACATAGTAGTTTAAAGTAGTTTGTTGTAGTGTAGTGTTATGTTTAACTTGAATTTAAAAGTTTTTGTTTCTTTTCCTGTTTGTGACTTCACACTGATCATTTTTCTTTCTACCAACAGATGTTCTCAACTCTCAACCTATAGAAATATTACGGGATGCACTCTATGCTGTATATACAGTACAAGACCCTGATTTGTATCCCTTCCAAGCATATCCAGAATTAGTCTGCGTGTTGATGTTCTCACTCAGCCACCAGCTGTAGACGCCGTCTCCGTCACCTCATTCTGTCTGCATTCATCATGTGCCCGCCTGTCTGTTGGCCGGCCAGTCAGTCAGTCATTCGGTCGGTCGGTCAGCAGGCAGCTTGTTGACTGTTGCATGAATTGTTTTTCAAATTATTGCCTTTTCTCCGTAGATGGAGGGGGATTTATACTGGCTGAACTGCTGGCTTTTGTGGTTTCTTTCTTTAACATCACACAATGTCCTCAAGTTCTCAACCACGGGACATTTCAAAGAAGGAGATCTTCATAGTGGGTGATGATGTAGATGATGATAATAGGAATGATAATGTTGTCAGGGTTGGTGACTTCATCACACTGTGCCAGCCAGCAGAACAAAAGCGGGCTCTACACCCGCCCTGCTCTTGGCAGCAGAAAAAGGGAGAGAGCAAAGATTGATGTTTCTATTCAGCTTCAGTCTAAATCTACCTCTCGATCCACAATTTCAAATACTCCTGTGCTTGAGCTTTAGTAAGAAGGAAAAACAATTTTGATTTGTTCTGCAGACAATGTCTGTTACTGCCTGGGAAGGAAGCACTCCATCAGTTCATGCAGGATATCCAGTGATTTGGCTCCCCGCTTAAGATGTTTGACGCTGCTGAAAATCTATTGTTTCTCAAAGATGCCTGTGCAGAGCCTCTGTCTTCTTTCTTCACCCACTCTTTTCTCTTTCCTACAACTCGATCTGTTCTCTCACAGGACTCGGAGAGAAAGGGCTTCATGAACAAGCTCTATGCCATCCAGGACGTGTGCATCAGCGTGCAAAATGCACTGGATGAAGTGGCCTCCTATGGCGAGAGGATAAAGAAGTGAGTCGTAAGCCTGTTCCTCGGCACCCGGCCCTTTCTACTTCCACTGGTTTTACTGCAATAGCATTTTTTTCCCCCACTTACTCCTGCCAGCGTAGAAGAATGACTTGGTGAAACATTGCCAGCGTGACATTCAACTCTTAATCTCAAAGTATTTATTATGGATCCAAATTTTCAAACATCTGTAAGTGCAGGAAGAGATTATTTATCTTGGAAGTCTTTTGGTTTCCACCACTGACCAGCTTTGAGCAGTCTTAGGTTGCTATCACATTTATATCACTTATTACACTTATATCACTTATACAGTAACACATCTATTACACTTACATTAATTGTTGGCATGTTATTTTGCAGTATATCCTTTGTCTATTTACAGTCAATTTTTCTATTTTTTTCTTTTTTTTACAGCACATTTAACTGGACTGTGCCTTTTCTAAGCTGGCTGGCTATTTTGGCTCTCGGAGTGGCCACCACTATCATCTACTTCATCCCTCTACGATACATTGTATTAGCCTGGGGTGAGCTTTTATAAATTAAGTAAATTAAGGTTAAAGTATTTTATTATAAAAATTAAATCAAAACTTCTGTTACATTTTTTAACAAAGTCCTGCCCCTTACTAAAGCACATTCCTGTTCTCTTCAATACTGATGCTCATACAGCTTTAGGATGGATTCCAGAATATATGCAATTAAAGGAAGACTATTTGAAAGCACAAGAAACAAAAACTGAAAACTCTTTGAACTTATAGTGTCACTAGTTAGACAATATTTGAATAAAGCTTGAAAGCTAAAAAAATAATAAAATTTAACTCTGTACTGTATAGATAACACAGCCAGTTGAACAGAAAGTGAGCAAAGCTTTTGCATCAATCATGTTTTTCTATTGAAAAGTAAAAAGTAAAAACAGTGAACACATTCTTCTTCTCAATAAATAAATTAATGTTTCCATGTTTTAATGAAGAAATTAGCATACTGCCTCTGTTTGCTGCCCT